TTAACGTCCATCTGAAGCTCTCTCGCGAAGAATACTCCGGTGGGGCTTCTTTTAGGTGTGATCCCTTTTATGCTGAAGGAGGCCGCGGTGGCAACCGACCTCCTCTAGGTCCAGTGCACTCATATCCTTTTCTTTTACGTGGACACTGGAGCTGAACAAGTGTGTGGTTTGGGAGATGGGGGAAATTTCCTGATATTTACTGCACTCCTAAAGGCTGTATCTGGTGGGAACTCTTTGGTGTTTGATTAGGTTTGATCTAGAGCTAAATATGGGTAGAGTGTTGGCTAAAAGTTTTCCCACAGCGGGGATACTTGTATGGTCTTTCTCAAGTGTGAACCTTCTGGTGCTGCATTATGGTCTAACTTTGGCCAAAAGCTTTTCTTTCTTTTTTTTTTTTAAAGATGACCGGTAAGGGGATCTTAACCCTTGACTTGGTGTTGTCAGCACCACGCTCTCCCAAGTGAGCTAACCGGCCATCCCTAAATAGGGATCCGAACCCGTGGCCTTTGCGTTATCAGCACCACACTCTCCCGAGTGAGCCACGGGCTGGACCTAGCCCCAGGTAATTTTGCCTGTGCTTCTGACCAACTGGCTCTAAATTAGGGTTCTTACAGCCCCCTCCTTGGGTTCCGTTAACTTGCTAGAGTGGCTTGCAGAACTCAGGGAAACAATTTTATGCTTACTGGATTATTACAGAGGATATTTAAAAGAATACAAATAAACAGCCAGATGAAAAGATACATAAGGTGAGGTCTGGAAGGGTCCCAAGCACAGTAGTTTCTGTCCCTGTGGAGGTGGGATGCACCACACTCCTGGCATGAAGATGTATTCCTGTTCACTTTCCTAGGAGCCCCTACATGTTCAGCTATCCACAAGCTCCCCAAATCCTGTCCCTTTTTTTTTTTTTTTGACACTTCATTACCTAGGCATGATTGCCATTGCCTATTGGCAGTTGCTTTAACCTTCAGCCCTTCTCCTATTCCCAGATGTTAGGGGGTGGGGTTAAAAGTTCCAATTCTCTGAGCATGTGGCTAGTTCCCCTAGCAACCAGCCTCCCATCCAGTGGTATCTAGGACTTTCTAAAAATCATCTTTTTTTTTTTTTTAAAAAANCGCGGCCTTGGTGTTATCAGCACCGCACTCTACCGAGTGAGCCACGGGCCGGCCCTAAAAATCATCTTATTAATGTAAGCTCAGGTGTGTTTGAAAGGGCTTGTTGTAAATGACAAAAGACTGTCTTTCACGTTTATACTATAGGAGCTCCTTCAGTAACCAAGGACAAAAGGCCAAAATACTTCAACCAAAGATATCCCAGCAGTGCTGCCTTGTAACACCAAGGTCAAGGATTCAGATTCCTGTGCTGGCCAGCTGCGGAAAAGAAAAAAAGGAAAAGGAAAAAAGATATCCTCGGGGCCGGCCAGTGGCTCACTTGGGAGAATGTGTTGCTGATAACACCAAGGCCGCGGGTTCGGATCCCTATATAGGGATGGCTGGTTAGCTCACTTTGGGGAGCGTGGTGCTGACAACACCAAGTCAAGGGTTAAGATCCCCTTACTGGTCATCTAAAAAAAAAGAAAAGAAAACAGATATCCTTATTGCTCTAAAATAACACAGCTTATAGGAGCTAAGAGCCAGGAATTGTGTATGAAAACCAAAATATATTATACATCTTGGGCCTCCGTGTCATCAAAATAAACAAAATACCAGCAGAATTTAAGGCAAACAATGCTTTATTAAAAATCACATAGACCCATGCATAAGGGAGTCAGCAATAGAGAAGCTATCTTCCCGAGAAAAGCTGGGGAATGGTTTTTTTTTTTTTTTTTTAAAGATGACCGGTAAGGGGATCTTAACCCTTGACTTGGTGTTGTCAGCACCACGCTCAGCCAGTGAGCAAACCGGCCATCCCTATATGGGATCCGAACCCGCGGCCTTGGTGTTATCAGCACCGCACTCTACCGAGTGAGCCACGGGCCAGCCCTGGGGAATGGTTTTTAAAGGCAAGCATTTCCTCAATTGATGTCAGCATCTTGCCTTGATGATTTCTCATATCTTTACAGTGGTCATGATGGAGGTCAGCTCCAGGAATATCCTGCATGCAGCTCACAAAGGGGTCTCAAGGTTAATCTGTAACTTAGTTTTTATAATTACAGGAAAAGAAAGAATGAGTAGATAATAATGTTTTGTTTTGTAAAAAAAGATGACCAGTAAGGGGATCTTAACCCTTGACTTGGTGTTGTGAGCACCACGCTCTCCCAAGTGAGCTAACCAGCCATCCCTATATGGGATTCGAACCCGTGGCCTTGGTGTTATCAGCACTGCACTCTCCCGAGTGAGCCACAGGGCCGGCCCTGATAATAATGTTTTATTTTTTATTTTTTTGGCGGCTGGCTGGTATCTTGAGGTTATAAGGCTGCATTTTAACTAACCAAGCTAGGTGGCCAGACTTTTTGGGTTTTTTTTTTCTTTTTTTCGGTTTTTGGTTGTTTTTTTGGCTGCTTGTCAGTATGGGGATCTGAACCCTTTGACCTTGGTGTTATAACACAATAAAACTCATAGAAATGAACAATGCACCCAGCAGTAAAGCAAGAAATGCTTTATTAAAATGAAGGGGAAAAAGGACTTATGAATAAGGGAGGTAGCTACAGGGAAGCTGTTCGAGGTCCTTTTTTTAGGGCAAGGGGGCAAGGGGTGCAGGCCAGCGTCATCATTCTGCACCTTTGGAGGTGGTCCATTCTCTCCTTCCTGTTTGCATCATGGGCTCATACTCAGTTAGGGCTTTGGTCCTTGCACCTGCTCAGTAGGTCCAAGATGGCAGTGCTGCTCATTATTGCCACCTAAGGAGGGGGGTCATTGTAGCAGTCACCTTGAAGCTTTGTGCGCATGCAGAGTTGCCCTAGCTGCCCTGGGGGAAGTTGGGGAAGGGTTTTGTTTTTTTTTTAAAGCAAGCAGTTCCTCAATTGGCATCTAGCTTTGATGATTTCTGATATTTTTATGGTGGTCGATTCCAGGAGCATCTTGCGTGTAACTCCTAAAGGGGTCTTAAGGTTAATCGGTAACTTAATTTTTACAATTACAAGAAAAGAAAGAATGGGTAGATAATGATAAGTTTTAAACAAAGCTAACAGTTATATTTTAACATCCTTGGGGAAGTGGTTTTGCAACTCAGTAAATATCTGTTCTCCTCTAATCTCAGTTTATTTTATCAGGGAATTATGCCCAACCAGTCTCTTTCAGTCACTCTTATCAGGGCCAAGAAATAATCATGTGCCCTGGGGGTCTCATGATTGAAGAGTGGGAAAGTAACAAAATGTCCTTGGAAGTGAAAATGGAGTTGGTTTGGTTCTCAGGCGTAGCCCTATCCTGTCTCAACCTGAGGTCAGAGAGGCAGGGACCGCACATCAGGACAGAGAAGACAAGAAGACAGAATGTCCACGAGGGTGTAAAGAAAGTGGGACTGAGAGCAGGACACTGACCTTGGTAACAGGACAGCAATGTGCACAGGACTATGGCAAGGCACAGTGTGGCCCAGCCCAGATCTCAGCCCACTCCCAAATCCCACTCAACCAAGGCCTGGCTTCTTCCAGGCCTTTCTTGTCATGGCCAGAATTTGCATCCTCCCAGCCAGACACTCAGGGATCTTTGCCTGCTCCAGCAAAATGGCCCTGTGGGTGGAGTGGCCACAAGTCCTGTGGAGGACAAGGCAGGTGAGGGGCCTGCTGTGACCATGTGTGACCCCCCTGCACAGGATGAGGAGCTTGCTTCAGCTTTGCCACCAGTGAGGAAAAGGGTTTTCACAAAACAAACCTTCAAAGAGGGTTGTACAGGAATAGCACAGTAGTCCTTGTGAGGAATGACCACCTCAGGACCCTAAGGTCCTGGCACTGGGAGGCTTTTAGGAAATATCTGCTGGAAAAAGAGGGTAGAATCCACCACATAGAGAGACCCTGCCATGGAACCAAGCCCAAAGGGCTTGTTTGACAGACGGGGAAAACCCTACTCTCCTCTCCTGGCTCCTTTTCGCCAGGGTTTGATGCAAGTGACTCCATTTCAAATCTGTCACCATTCACTATGTGACGTGTGTGCAGATCTCTTCAAAGACATCCACAGAGAGGGCCGGCCCGGTGGCGCACTGGATAGTGCGCCGCTTGGAAAGCGTGGCGGTGCTCCCGCCCGAGGGTTCGGATCCCACATACAGACCGGTTCCCGCTCACTGGCTGAGCGAGGCGCGGGAGCAACACCGAGGGTTGCAATCCCGTTGCCGGTCCCCGGTCCGGTACGGGGGCGACACTGAGGGTTGCGATCCGTTGCCGGACACGGAAAAAGACAAAAGACAAAAAAAGACATCCTCAGAGAAAAGAAGGGGTTCCCCGAAGGCCCTGTCTGGGTCCACAGCCCCGTGTCCGCGACGCGAGTCACTTGCTGGACCAATAAGTGGAGGAAATCCGGGAGCGGCACCTTTAAGAAGTTAAACCACGCCTTCACTATTGGGGGAAAAAAAAAAAAAAAAATCTCAGGACGCCTTTTCCCAGCGCCCCTCCGGGTGCAGCCTGGGCGTTGCCAAGGAGAACGGGAGGGGCGCCCCTCGCCCGGCGGGACACAGGGCCGAAACTACATTAACCAGAAGGCCGACAGGAATGGACATGGGCTCTGGACCAATCACAGCCCAGAAGCGGGGCTTCTTCCCGCGGATAGGGCATGTGGGGGCGGGACCTCCGGCGTCGCCGTCGTGGGCGCTCATTTTGCTCTTGACAGGTCGTTCCCCATTGCCCTTGGGAACGCGAGTGCTGGGTAGGGACCCGCCGGGCATGACAGTGAGGAGGATGGGACCGGCTTCGGCGCTTGTGTTCGCGCCGTGACTCCTGTAATGGGGGTGTCCTCCGCACTCGCCCTCGGCCGTCGCAGCTCCCGGAGGTGGCGCCCTGGGCCCTGAGCGCGTTTAAACCGGGGAGACAGAGGCCCCGAGCGCGACGTCTGCCCGCGGTCGCCTGGCCCATTTGAGTGCGGGGCTTGCCAAGCCCGCAGGGCCTGCCCGTTTCCGATGGCGGTGGCGGCGCCGATGGACTCGGTGCGGGTGAGTGGAGAGTGCCCCGCGGCCCTCACTCGCACGGACCTGCCCCCAACACACGTCGCCTGAAGCCCTGAATAGGGGAGGGGGATGTTCCAGGACTCTCCTCCTACTCCCCCTTCGCTCTCTTCTCTTGCTACTGGACACCCTAGTGTCAACCCATGCCCACGGTCCTGAATCCCGGTCAGGGCTTATGTGGAAAAGTTCCCATCTCTGGAATCCAGTGGCATGAGGTGTGCAAAGCTGTTTCAGGCATAGGGGCCTGGATATGCAAATGCTAGTGAGGCTGAGCTGAGAGTTCGAGGAACCTCGGGTCTCTCTTATGTCTGGGGGAAACAGAGAGCAGGTGGGCAGGTGCCAGGCCTGGCATGGCCACCCGACGAGCTCTGCCTGTAGTCTGAGGGTGGTGGGAGCCATGGAAAGTTTGGAACAGAGTAGGGAGGTGATCAGGCTCCTTCTGGCTGCAGAGGGGAGAACAGATAGGGTAAAGGTGAAGGAGAAGGACAGGAGGTTTATAAGGATTCTATGTTAAATAGATCAGGTCAGTGACTGATGGCTCAGCCAGAGTGGTGACTGGAGGTGGGAGAGTGGTTGGATTTTGGATCTGTTTTTTGAGTTGGGCCAGCCAGATTTTATGATGTGGAAGGTAAGAGAAGGGGAGGAGGTAGGGATGTTTCCTCAGGTTTTGGCCTCAGCAACTAGAAGGTGGAAGTACTGGGCCGGCCCGTGGCTCACTCGGTAGAGTGCGGTGCTGATAACATCAAGGCCCCGGGTTCGGATCCCACATAGGGATGGCCGGTTCGCTCACTGGCTGAGCGTGGTGCTGACAACACCAAGTCAAGGGTTAAGATCCCCTTACCGGTCATCTTTTAAAAAAAAAATTTTTTTTAAAAGATGACCGGTAAGGGGATCTTAACCCTTGACTTGGTGTTGTCAGCACCACGCTCAGCCAGTGAGCGAACCGGCCATCCCTATGTGGGATCCGAACCCGGGGCCTTGATGTTATCAGCACCGCACTTTTTTTTTAAAAGATGACCGGTAAGGGGATCTTAACCCTTGACTTGGTGTTGTCAGCACCACGCTCAGCCAGTGAGCGAACCGGCCATCCCTATGTGGGATCCGAACCCGGGGCCTTGATGTTATCAGCACCGCACTTTTTTTTTAAAAGATGACCGGTAAGGGGATCTTAACCCTTGACTTGGTGTTGTCAGCACCACGCTCAGCCAGTGAGCGAACCGGCCATCCCTATGTGGGATCCGAACCCGGGGCCTTGATGTTATCAGCACCGCACTTTTTTTTTAAAAGATGACCGGTAAGGGGATCTTAACCCTTGACTTGGTGTTGTCAGCACCACGCTCAGCCAGTGAGCGAACCGGCCATCCCTATGTGGGATCCGAACCCGGGGCCTTGATGTTATCAGCACCGCACTTTTTTTTTAAAAGATGACCGGTAAGGGGATCTTAACCCTTGACTTGGTGTTGTCAGCACCACGCTCAGCCAGTGAGCAAACCGGCCATCCCTATATAGGATCCGAACCCGTGGCCTTGGTGTTATCAGCACCAGGTCTGAGTTCTGAGGGACTCAGCATGGTGACATCCGGTTGGCAGCAGCCAACCTATGAACTGAGGTGAAGCTCTGGCTCAGATTAAGAGGGAGCATCTTTAGGTAATGGCAATGGATGCCCTGTGGAGGCTGCTGAGGACTGGGTGGCTGGCCTGGGCACCTGCACATGGGTGGTGGGTATCACAAAGTCAGATGAAGGCAGGGGTAGCCTCCAGGGAAGGTGTGTGGGAGAAGAAGGTCCAGAAGGTGACCAAGTTTCCTGGGACAGAGGCTGAGGCATACAAGGTGTAGGTAGGATGAGCATGAGGCCAGGGCTGGTGCTTATTCACCCCCCTATGGGCTCACCAGCTTTTCTTGGCTGCCCTCTGTGGGGCCTGGAGTTTTCATTCAGGCTGGCAGAGTAGCCAGCTACTCAGTGGCAGATTGGGTCAGCCGTGAGAGTTCCAGGCCTGGGGTGGAAGGTGGTAGGGCTGGGCTTTGAGGTGATGGGCCAGGTGGGGAACCATGAAGGAAGGGCTGGGTGCTGCTGCCCCTGGCATTTGGGACTTGGAGGTCTGGGGCAGGACAGGATCCTGATTGCTCTCACCAAGCAGCCAGGCTCTGGACACAATTTGCAGAGGCATGTGGGGAGGCAGGGAGATGCTGGCTGTGTGGGCCATGGGGTGGCTGTGGGGCTTGGAGATGAGGGGTCCAAGGAGTGATGTACACCTGCAGAAGGAGTGTGAACAAGGGTCAGGACCTAAGGGAGAAGGGTGAACCCCAGCCTGGGGTTCCTGGGGACCCAGAGCTTAGGTGTTGTCTATCTGCCCACCTGCCTATAGTTTGAGGGCAGACACAGTGATAAGGAGGACAGAGTGGCACCCATGGGCACTGGGGCTTGGGGAGGAGGTAACTTGGGAGTGTTTGTAAAGAGGTCAGGGGGGTCATGGAAGAAGAGATGCCACCAGGTAAGTGGTGGGATGCTGTGTCACAGGCTGAGGCCTGGATGGGTTCATCTGTGGGGTTTTTTTTTGGTCTGATTTTCTGCTGTCCTTTGGTCTCATTGACTTAGCTGTCGCCATCACTGAAGGACCGGGTGACCTTTGAGGACGTGGCCGTGTACTTCTCTCGGGATGACTGGAGGCTCCTTGATGAGGCTCAAAGGCACCTGTACCGTGATGTGATGCTGGAGAACTTTGCGCTGGTGGCCTCGCTGGGTAAGGCCCCACACCCCCCAGCCTCCTATTATAGGTTCTGCCTTTCCTCTTTTCCCTGGGAGCAGCTCTGCTTTCCCACAGCTGGAGCTTGGATGCTGCTTCCTCACCTGGACTTGCTGCTTTGTGTGCAGAGCTAAGCTGCAGGCACAACCTGGTCCTCTCCCCATGGGGCCCCGACACCTACTGTCCAAAGCATTCTGGGGAAGGGCTTGAGGTTCAGAGTCTCAGTCTGGCTGTCTGCGTCCATTCAGGTCAGTGGCACCTCTGTGCCCCAGGTTCTGCTCCCTTTTTCTATGAGATATTTCCAGGAACCTGGTCATGCCAGGGACTGCAGGCACCAACATAGTCACTGCTTGTGAGGACCATTGAACTCTTCCTGTGAGATCCCCCTCAGAGGCTTAGTTTGTAACTTTGACTTTCTTTCCTGGTTCCAAAGATGAGATGAGCTCCTTATGGTCTGCCATGGGGTGGGTTGTTCTGATCTGAGGCCAGCCACTCACCTGTCCTGTCTTTCTCCCAGGACTTGGATCTTCCAAATCCTGTGTGGTAGCCCACCTGGAGCGGAGTAAAGAGCCCTGGGTGCCTGACAGGGTGGATGTGTCTCCAGCTACCGGAGAGGGCCAGAGAGATCCTAGCCCTGGTGAGTGGGAACTAGGGGAAAGGACATCAGGGCTGCTCAGTATCCATTAGCATTTCATTGCTGGGGCAGTGGCCACATCTTACTGCCAACTTTCCTTCCTCATTCTGGACACGCCACCGTCTTGCCCTTTCTATCTTCCTTTCTTTGTTCTTGCAGCTGGCCAGTACAGGGATCAAACACTGGACCTTGGTGTTATCAGCACCATGCTCTAACCAACTGAGCTAACCAGCCAGCCCTCTTCTTGCCATTTCTACTCTGACTTCTGGCCCTGGAAGACAGATGCCTCCACTGCTCTGCTCTCACCTCTATGTCTTCCTTTGCAGGGCAGCCCTGCATTAGCTTGCACCCAACGTATTATGAGATTTGCATGTATCCTCATGTAGACTCTGAACACGATGTGCCCAGCTGCAGGTGAACTATCCTGGACTTGTGCACACTGCTCTGTGTCCCCTTTTCCTACCAGAGATCTCTTGGGGCCTGCCTGTGTCTCTGGTCCTGCTGAACACTGACGCATGAGTTGGAGTCCCTGCCTCTTTTCTCAGCCTGAACTCCACCCCTGTGTTCCTGCGCCTGGTGAGGCCTTCTGTGGCCTATCCAGTCCCTGCCCTGCACTGCTTGCTCTTCCTCACCTGACTTTGTTCTTGGACATGTCAGACATGTACTTGTAAAAAGGCTGCCCCCTCCCGATGAAGCCCACATGCACTTCACCAGTATTTCTCTACTTTCAGGTTGCTGGCCAAGAGCAGAGGAAGCCGCCCCTCAACAGCGTGTTTCTGTAGAAGGAGTGGTTCAGTTTGGGACCCCTGAGGCAGATCCTTTCACCCAGAAGGTCAATACCTGTGACAAGTGTGGCCCAGTTTTGAAAGACATTTTGTATCTGGCTGAGCACCGGGGAACAAACCATGGGCAGAAACCGTACATGTGTGAGGGATGTGGGAGAGGCTTTTGGATCAGTGTGAACCTTCAGCTCCATAAGGAGCACAGTGCCGAGAAGCCCTTCGTGTGCAGGGAGGGTGAGAAGGCCATCCTGGACTGCCATGACCTCCTCCACCATCAGGCCATCCATAGCAAGGGGAAGCTATGCAGGAGCACTGAGCATGAAGCAGCCTTCCTACCCAGCTCCAATCACGGGCAGCAGCAGGGAGTCCACACCACACAGAAGCCCTTCAAGTGCAGCGACTGCACTAAAACCTTCCTGAAGGCCTTTGCACTCCTTGACCACCTGATTACTCACTCTGAAGAGAGAAACTTCAGATGCCCCACAGGTGGAAATGCCCCCAAGGAGAACTCAAGCCATGTTAATCACCAAAAATTTTATCCTGGAGAAACATCTCATGTGTGTAAGGAATGTGGGAAGGCCTTCAGCCACCTGTTTAAACTGAGGACACATCAGAAAGCTCACACTGGAAAAATGCATCACAAGTGTACCGAGTGTGGGAAAGCCTTCACCCGCAGACATTCACTCATTCAGCACCAGAGAGTCCACACTGGAGAAAGGCCTTATGAGTGTGGCCAGTGCGGGAAAGCCTTCACTCGCAGTTTCCATGTTGTTCGGCACCAGAAAGTTCACAACACAGAAAGACCTTATGAGTGTAGACAGTGTCGGCGAGTCTTTAGTTGTATCTCCAACTTTGTTGAGCACCAGAAAATACACACGGGAGAAAGGCCTTTTGAGTGCAGTGAATGTGGGAAAGCCTTCATTAACAGCTCCCATCTTGTTCGGCACCAGAAAGTTCACAACACAGAAAGGCCTTTTGAGTGCAGTGAATGCGGGAAAGCCTTCCGGCAAACCTCCAAGCTTGTTCTGCATCAGAGGAGTCACACTGGAGAAAGACCTTATAAGTGCAACCAATGTGGGAAAGCCTTCAGTTGCCTCTCCAACCTTGTTCCACACCAGCGAATTCATACTGGAGAAAAGCCTTATGAATGCTCAGAATGTGGGAAAGCCTTCAGTCAAAGCTCTGCCCTCATTCAGCACCAGAAGGTTCATACTAGAGAAAGGCCTTATGAGTGCAGTGAATGCGGGAAAGCCTTCAGCTATAGCTCTAACCTTGTTAAGCACAGGAAAGTTCACACTGGAAAAAGACCTTATGAGTGCAGCCAGTGTGGGAAAGCGTTCAGTGAAAGCTCCATCCTCAGTCAGCACCAGAGAGTTCACACTGGAGAAAAGCCTTATGAGTGCAACAAATGTGGAAAAGTTTTTCGCTATAGCTCTAACCTTTCTAAGCACCAGAAAAGTCACACTGGAAAAGAGCCATCTAAGTGCAGTGGACGTAGGAATGCCTTTAGCCAGAGCTCTGGTCTCATTCAGCACCAGAAAGGTCACACTAGAGAAAAGCCTTAGGAGTGTGATCAATGTGGGAAAGCACTTATAGCTGGGGCTTTCTCTTTGCTCACCATAAAAAGACTCACTCATTGGGGCCAGCCCATGGCTCACTCGGGAGAGTGTGGTGCTGATAACACCAAGGCCACGGGTTCGGATCCCATATAGGGATGGCCAGTTAGCTCACTGGGTGATCTTGGTGCTGACAACCCCAAGTCAAGGGTTAAGATCCTCTTACCGGTCATCTTTAAAAAAAAAAAAAAAAAGACTCACTCATGAGAACCCTTCTGAGTGTAACATTTATGAGGAAGCCATCAGCCAAAAATTGAAACTTGCACATCCCAACACCCTCCTGAGGAGATTGCCTGTGAGTGCACTTTGTGGGAAGCTTTTGGGAGCTATGTTACACTCTGTAACCTGTCCAAAGTCTTTGTTAGATTACATCACCAATACTGCCAATACCATCTTGCCTCTACCAGCTGGCAGGTCTCCACAGCCTGTGCCTGTTTTACTCAGGGAAGGCAGACATCTGTGCTCTCTCTCATTCCCTGGAGGGAACCATGAATGATGGGAGCCCTTTGGGGTCACCTCATTTCCCACTTCTCCCATCTCCATTGGTTAAGGCATTGCCCTGACTAGTTCTCTCTAAGAGGATCTAAACTGGAGTCTGCTGAGCACTTCCAGAGAAGATGTCTCTTCTTGGTCCTTTTTGATTCTACAGATGACACCAGCAACGGATTTGTCCAGTCTCCAAATCACCCAACCCTGGAACTGCCTGCCTCCAAAGTGTGTGATAATAAAGGCCTTATTATTGAAGCCATCTTTTAATCCTGGGGTCTCTATCCATTGTGTGTGGGGAGAAATTGAGAAGAAAATTGGGCTCTAACAGTGGAGAGAGGGGAAGGGCTTTTGTAGCGGGCTGTCAGAGGGGACAGCAGAATGGCAAGGAACAGTTCTCAGTCCAGTTACACCTAATTTGCTTTGTAGCTCAAGGCCTCCTGGGACAGACTGAAGGTCACTCTTGTCCAAATCATGTGTCCTGGATGCAGGATGACTTGCTGGGCCCAGAGCTTTGGAAATTGCATATCTGGAGTGGCAATCTCCAGTATGTCCTGGAGCAGCAGGGGTTGGGTCCCTTGTTCCCAGGAATGTCTCACATTCCCCTGCACTGTTGAGGGGCCACTGTCTTTTGGTACCTGCCCATGAATAAAGCCCCTGAAGTCCAGAATCTATTTGCAAGTGTCACTGACTGTAAGATTTATAGTGGCCAGGTGGAAACAAACCATAAGTGGGTACAGAAACACCGGGTTTAAGGTCAGGGAGTGAGGGAGAATGTAAACAGAAGGGGTGTGCCTGAGCCAGATCATAGTGGATCACAAAAGCTGGTTACATTCAGTGACATCATATGGGTAGCTTGAAATCGGCCACAGTACGGGAATTTACACCACAAAAGTTAACAAACAGCAGTTCTCAGAAAAAAAACAACAAAAAAACCCCACCTAATTTTCAGTGTTTGCCCAATTTGCTGTGACAGTGACCTTGGCCACAGGAGAGATGGCTCTGCAGGTCTTGAGAAGTCCCGTACATCCTCTTCTTGCACAGCCATGTTCTCTAGAACATGTGCAGATGCCCCTTTAGAATGAGCACAATCAGCAGCATGTTGTTTACTGTCAGAGCAAATCATCTAAAGGTTTTGTGGATTCCTGTAGCATCCCTGGGCTGTTCGCTTCAAGGCCATCACTGCACAGGCAGGAACCCCAGGACTGAGAAGGAAGATCCTATAGTCCAGAGATGTGGCTTTGTGGCCCAGCCAATATTCCTGGTAAGTGTGGGGTAGCCATGGCCTTCATCATCTGCTGGTTTCTGCTGCCACTGAGAGACAAGAGATAGTGGAATCAACACATGGTTGTTCCATTTTCTAGTTTTCCAAGAGGAGTAAGAAATGCACATTTTTTATGTGCAGGCTTTTGATTTTATAAATGTTGGAATCTATTTCCCAAAACCTTATATACAAAGTTGATTCGGCAGAGCCTATGTATATATGTTCTGCATATGTGTTCGTGGGCCAACAGTCATGACTCTTGGGAAGCAAACCAGGCATTTGTCCCCGCTGGCCCACCATGAGTTTACCCTAAGGCATGAAGCAGAGTCAGTGGCACTGCTGCCACCGCTCCATCCAGGATGCTTCTCTTCCCCCAAGTCATCTGAAGTGGGGACAGAAGCTGACCACATGAAGGACAGCATACAGACATGTTTGCAGTCAGCTGAGCATGTGGCAGGTCTGCCGAAGTTCTCCCCATCATCCGAGGTATCAGGGAAGCCCCTGGCTTCAGGTCATCCCTTCTGGGTATAATAATTGTCTTCCACCAACATGGGAGGACTGCTTGGGATCAGAGTTAAAATACAGCTGAGCCATGTGGGCCTTAGATATGGGTAGACTTTGTGAAATGACCCTTACCCCATTGGTGAAAAGACCTTGACCTGAATCTGCTTTCTGGTCTCTCCAGCAGGACTCTGCAAGGCAGCTGGCTTGCTGTGTCCATGTGTGTGCAAGTATACGTGCCAGAACATCCGAAGTGAAGTTCATGCTTCTGAGCATCTATGAATCAGGGCTGCTGACATCCATCTTGATTCTTCAGGGAGGCCTGCTTGTGACCTGCCACAGAGGAGGGCAGCATTGAGTGACGGCCAGGGACAGCCCTTCTGACATCGTGTGAACTCCAGATCCACTTAGTGCCTGAAGCCAGATGCCAAGTGAACTTTTTGGCTCCATGTACCAATAAATAATTTTATATACATACAGACACATACACACATATATTTTTTGCAGCTGGCCAGTACAAAGATCAAACTCTGGACCTTGATAATGATTGTTCCCCCCACCCCGCCCCTTGATAATGATTTTGGTTGAAGCAACTTAAAATGGAATTGTGTCACTTGGAAGTGAGAGAGTTCTCCACCTGCAGTGGTGCTCACAATATCAGCCACCCCTTCTCTACTGTGGAAGCAGGACCCCAGAGCAGAGCTGCCTAGAGAACTTTTCACCAGCTCCACGGATGGGAACAAAGACTGTCCTGGCTCTGGAGGCTCAGAAGCAGCAGAGGCAGCAACATACAGGCAGCCTCCTTTTCCCCAGCTGCCCTTCCCTGCAGCTCCTGACACCGCGGCACTGGCACACAAAATTCAACTTACCCCTTCTTTTCCCTCATAGCCCAGTCCTCCCTGATAGCAGTCAATGTGTCCTGCAGGTTTCCATCCAGGTGATAATAAAATGTAACTCCTCATCCTAGTTTACAGGGCCAGCATGACGGGGTTCCTCAAACACACCAGCTCACGGCTGCTCAGGGCATCTACACTGTAGTCCCCTCTGGGCGGGACACTCTTCCTGGGGAGGCACCTCCTTGGAGAGATCTTCCAGATCACCATCGGAAGTAGCATTTGTAGCTGTCTGTCACTTCCCTCTGTGTTGTTTCCCTCACAGCTCTATCAGAAATACTATTTTCTGGAATTATCCTGTTATTTTCTCTACTTACATGTTAAATCTCTGTATTCCCCATTAGATGGAGATAACCTGTAGGTGAAGACCATGCCTGTTGTATCATCTCATGGCTCTGTTTATCCTAGGTCCCAGCAATGGGCCTGGCATACAGTAGGGACTCAGGAAACATTTGTTGATCTGCCATTCTGCAGGACCTGTGCATGAGCCCACCTCTCACCCTCACAGTCTCCCACAGTGGGAGAAGGAGCATCATGACAGAAAAAGTAAGAGTGAGCACTTTCTTTGTGGGGAAGCATCCTTCATATCAGATCATATGCCATATTGTATCCCTGTGCACTTAAGTAAAGAACCTGTCTACTTATTCACTTATTTAACAAATGCCATTTGAGCAAGCACTGTGGTAGGGACTGCATTCGTACATCAGTAAACAAAACACAAAGGCGCCCTCTCTTGCAGAGCTGACGTTCTAATGAAGAGACAAGTATTCACTGAAAAATTAAAAATTTAAAAAATTAAAAAGGAAATTAAACAAAAATAAACTCAAAAACTTCTACTTTCAGCCAAGATGGAGTAACAGACCAGGTTTACCCTTCCACCAGAAACAATGAAACAACCAGACAAAACATAAGAAACAATGGTTTTCAAACACTGGACAGCAGATAGCATAGACCAATGATCCCTAAGAAAAGAAACAAAAGAGGTGAGCTCTATGATTGTCTCCAGCAACTGCCTGGAGAGTTTCCAGGCCAAAGTGCAGGGAAGGGAACCCAGGTAGAGTTGAGGAGACTGACCTGGTAGTCCAGGGAGGCCAAGGCAGCCAGAGTTCACATGGCAGAGGACTGCAGAGGAGGGAGCTGCATGGAGAGCTCCAGAAATTGGCAGAGTCCTCTTTGATTCTCCATCTGAGGATTGATCAGCTAATGTTTGTGAGGAAACTACCTGAGGCTGGGGAAAGAACCACCCAAAAGAAGCAGAGGCAAAAATCCCCATAACGTAAACAGGGCTGGCTATAGTTAATTTTCCCACCAGCCAGGGGAAAAAAAGCTCATAATTCATGGGGCATTCAGATGAGTACCACCTCAGTAGCAAAGAAAATTAGTCCTAGATTAAAGGTTGCTTTGAGGGCCGGCCTCTGGCTCACTTGGAAGAGTGTGGTGCTGACAGCACCAAGTCAAGGGTTAAGATCGCCTCACCAGTCATCTTTTAAAAAAATAATATTAATAATAAAGGTTGCTCTGGTCCCACCTCACACAGCTGAAAGCAAACAATGAAATGATCTAACTATTAGCAATGAATAATCAGAAACTGAAATTTAAAAATAAATATACCATTTAAAACACCATGAAAGGCTGGCAGGTTATCTCAGTTGGTTAGAGCATGGAGTTGATAAGACCAAGGTTAAGGGTTTTGTACTCTGTACCAGCCAGCCGCCCCCCAAAATAATAACAAAACAGTATGAAAATATGAATACTAGGATTATGTTTGACAAAACATTTGCAAGACCTGTACATTGAAAGCTACACAACACTGCTGAGAGAGATTAAAGAAGACCTAAACAATTAAATCAATATACCATGGTCATGGATTGGAAGACTCAGTATTTTATAATAATTCTTAATATTATTAAATTTAATCTGCCCCAAACTCATCTGTACATACAACACAATCCTAATAAAGTTCCCAGTAGAGTGGTTTTTGGGTAGAAATTGTACCATGGTCATGGATTGGAAGACTCAGTATTTTATAATAATTCTTAATATTATTAAATTTATCTGCCCCAAACTCATCTGTACATACAACACAATCCTAATAAAGTTCCCAGTAGAGTGGTTTTTGGGTAGAAATTGACAAGCTAATTCTACAATTTATATGGAACTGCAGAGGATGTAGAACAGCCAAAATGACTTTGAAAATGAAGAACAAAGTTGAAGAATTTACACCACTTGAGTCCAAGAATTTTTATAAAGCTATAATGATCAAGATGGTATCGTATTGGTATGTGAATAGACAAAAAGATCAAAGGTACAAAATACAGATTCCAGAAATAGACCCATCCAATCAATTGCTTTTTAACTAAGTGGCTAAGACAATTAATTCAATAGGAAACGGATAATCTTTTCAAAAATGATACTGGAACAATTAGATAGCCATATGCAAAGATAATTCAGTAACAAGGCAAGGATGTCTCCTCTCTCTTTTTTTTTTTTTAAAAGATGACCGGTAAGGGGATCTCAACCCTTGGCTTGGTGTTGTCAGCACCACGCTCAGCCAGTGAGCAAACCGGCCATCCCTATATGGGATCCAAACCCAGGGCCTTGGTGTTATCAGCACCACACTCTACCGAGTGAGCCACGGGCTGGCCCCAGGATGTCTCCTCTTAACAATCCTTTTCAGCATCATGCTAGAAGTCCTAGCTAATACAATATGACAAGAAAAGGAAATAAAATATATACAGATTGGGAAAGAAGAAATAAAACTGTCTTTGTTTGAAGATGACATGAGTGTCTATACAAAAAACTGAATGAATTTCGGATCCTTGTACCTGCCAGCCGCCAATATATATATATATATAAGAAAAGAAAGAATTGACAAAAATCTCCTAGAACTAATAAGCAATTATAGTAAGGTTTCAGGACGCAAGGTTAATATATAAAAGTCAATTGATTTTCTATATACTAGCAATGAACAAGTGCAATTTGAAATTAAAAACACAGTATCATTTTACATTAGCATCCCCCAAAAGTGAAATACTTAGGCATAAATCTAACAAGAAAGGGGCTGGATGGTTAGCTCAGTTGGTTAAAGTGGAGTGTTATAACACCAAGGTACCAAGGTCAGAGTTCTGATTCCCGCACTGGCCAGCTGCCAAAAAAAAATTTTTTTTTATTTTTAAAAAAAGAACACACATTGGAAAGGAGGATGTAAAACTGTCTTTACTTGCAGATGACATGATACTGTATGTAGAAAATCCCAAGGAATCCATTGAAAACCTACTACAGTATAATAAAAAGTTTAGTAAGGTAGTAAGATTCAAAACCAACATATGCTAGCAACAAACAATCTGAAAATAAAGTGAAAGAGTAGTAGCCTCGAAAATAATAACTTAGGAATAAGTTTTGTTTGTTTTGGTGGCTGGCTGGTAAGGGGATCCAACCTTTGACCTTGGTATCATCAACACCATATTCTTTTTTTTTTTTTTTTTTTTGTCTTTTGTCTTTTTTCCATGTCTGGCAACGGATCGCAACCCTCAGTGTTGCCCCCGTACTGGACCGGGGACCGGCAACGGGATTGCAACCCTCGGATCAACACCATATTCTAACCAAGTGAGCTAACAAGCCAGCCCATTAGGAATAAATTTAAATAAATAAATTTGAGATTTATACTCTGAAAACTATAAAGCAGTGCTGACATAGTTTGCTGAGAGACTTTCCATGTTCATGAACTAGAAGACTCAACATTTTTTAAGATGACAATACTCCTCAAATTGATATACAGATTCCATGTAATACCTATCAAAACCACAGCTGATTTTTTGGGTAGAAATTGACAAACTGATCCTAAAATTCATATGGATATACAAAGGACTTACAATAGCCAAAACAATTTTGACAAAGAACAAAGTTGAACTTACCTTAACTGATTTCAAAAGCTACTGTAAAGCTATAGTAAGACATACAGTATGACAGTAAGACAGTGTGGTACTGGTATAAGAACAAACATATACCTGTTGGCCTGTGGCTGACTTGAAAGAGTGTGGTGCTGATAACACCAAGGTCACAGGTTTAGATCCTATATAGGGATGGCTGGTTAGCTCACTTGGGAGAGTGTGGTGCTGATAACACCAAGGTCACAGGTTTAGATCCTATATAGGGATGGCTGGTTAGCTCACTTGGGAGAGTGTGGTGCTGAGAACACCAAGTCAAGGGTTAAGATCCCCTTACCGGTCATCTTTAAAAAAAAAAAAAAAAAAGAACAGATATATAGATCAACAAAATAAACTTGAGAGTACAGAAATAACTTTACTCAACTGACTTTCAACAAAGGTGCAATGTGGAAAGATCTTCTTTTCAACAGTGGTTCTGGGAAAATTGGATATCCACATGTGAAAAGATTAATTTGGAACTTTACCTTACACCACACAGAAAAATTACAATGAAATGGATCAGAAATGTAAATGTAAGGGCTAAAACTATAACATTTCTAGAAGAAAACACAGAAGGCAATTTTTTGCCTTTTGGTTAGACAGAGTTTTTTATTTTATTATTTAAAAAAAAATTTTTTTTTTCTTTTTTTGGCAGCTGGCCAGTACAGGAATTGAACCCTGGACCTTCATGTTATCAGCACTGCACTCTAACCAACTGAGCGAACTGGCCAGCCCTGGCAGACTTTTTTAGATGTGACACCAAAACACAATACCTAAATGGAAAAACTAATAAATTAGACTTTATCAAAATTTAAAATTTTGCTCTTCTAAAGACACCATTAACTAAGTTTATTTTATTTTATTTTATTTTATTTAAAAATGGTAAGGGGATCTTAA